CGATACTTTATAAAAAAAAAAAACTATAACAAGTTGATTGAAATAAATTTACACAACTTCTATATGTATTTTCACATTGCTTTGAAAGAGTTATCTTTTCGGGAAACGATTTTAAATAGACAAAGTTGTTACGAACATATGATACATTCATACTTGTATGACACGTGATCGAACAAATCACTTACACGAGAGCACATCCTCACGATCGACATCACTTGCATCGATGAAAATTCATAATCTTCCCCCAGGTGACAGGTGTTCGAATATTTTCGCGAGGCACATAACGTAACGCCAGCGCGATCTCATTCCAACGGAAAGAGGCAAATTTTTCAGCGAGTTGGTAATTTAGAAACAGGATTCAAGGTGATCCTGTTACGACGCTGAGAACCTCTTGTGCAACGTTCTATCCGCGGCGATACACAATCGGCCGGCATTCGAAATTCATTTCACCCGGTTAAGCAACAGTGGAAAAATGGCATCGACAGCGGGCATGAAGTATTTCCAGTCTCGCCGGTTATCCTTTCCGCCGGATCACGGGCGAACCGAAACGCGCCAAAGAACCGTTAGCAAGAGGGAAAACGCGTAACGCGATAAGCCCGTGTGTGTAGATTCGATTTAAGCATGGCGGCAGCAGTACACGCCATGGAAAAATTGCATTGTCGATAAACTGGCTGGAAAAACCAGGTTTATTGTTTTCATTCGCCCCGCCTATAGCGCTTATCCAATGCCGCGAGACGCGAGGGTGCTTTTTGAAATTTTCTTTCGTTATCTACTGTCGCGAGGTTTTCGCGAATTTTCGAGGACTTTTCATATTTGTTTTCATTCGAGAAGTTTCCCCTGTGTGTTTAAATTATCAGAATTTTCTTCCACTGGTATTCCAGAGTTTTTTGTTTGGTATTATTATTAGTATTCGCAATATTTATATTGCTCGTGATATCGAAGACGTTTAAGATTTAAAAAAGTCAATTTCTTTTTTTTTTCTTTTTTTTTACATTTTCTCAAAGTATATGCTTTTGAAAATATCTATGTAAATAACGGAAGCAGGAGCAAGTTGATAATTTATTGGTTATAATTTTCAATATCGCGAGCAAGTTGATAATTTATAGGTTATAATGTATTCAGTAACCTGTTTGGAATCTATTTCAATACGTCAATCGTTCATTTTACAATCAGTCTCCGAACCAGGTTTCCGAAAAAAAAAAAAATGTATGTTAGTAGGCCATTCTTCGTTTCGAACAAAGGAAAAAAAAAAAAGAAAAAGGAGAACACATAAATTACGTTCTATATAATTTATTCCAGCCGTTGACCATATACTTTTACTAGGACGTACATTTTTTACTATTTATTCTTTGCCTAAAAAGCGGCGGAGGTCCGCAGAGTTCAAGTATATGTAAACGATACAAGTGATGTCAAACCTAACAGAAAATGCACGTCTCGTTCATCCATTTACCAATTCAATTTCTCTGATCTTAAAATCATCCGGAGAGATATTTTATCTATGTTTTTCAGCACGCCAAGACAAGTTCTTGAATAAATAAATAAATGATGTTCAATTAACGTCACGTCGTTCAATGCTAGTTTTAATGAGCGAAATATGCAAAAGAGCTAATGAAATTATTAAATTAACGACAAACGAATGGAGAACGTAGCGCGTTGCAAGAGGGAAATGAGAACCCTGAGTTCCGCTTGGAATATTGTTTTAGCCAAACACATTGAGAATACTATTGAAATATCGATTCCCATTGTTGAATATTCAGTACAGAGCTGGCAAGGTTGTAACTAATTAAGAGGAATACATTTAAACCTCGTAACTTTTGTCAATGCCTTGCGCCGGCTTTATTTATTCGACGTGAAACAGGCTTTTAAATAGCATCTCTTCGCCTTCTGTTACCGTATTTAGTAAAAAAAAAATATGCCATTTCTCATCCTGACGACCGTGCATTAGCATACACTTCAAATTCCGAAACTTGTTCACTTTCATTTTCACCGTGGTTCTCAGTAAATTGCAAAAATCTCGCGCGCAATATCGAGTCGTTTTCGAGATTTAAGAAAGAAAAAAAAACCCCCAGCTTTCCAAAGGTACAATCGTGCGCAAAAGTGCGGACAAATTTCTCACTCTGCATTCCGAAAAGAATTTCAAGAAGGTGAATAAAAAAGAGTGAATGTTGCTACGGATGATTTCACACATCGCCTTTCAATTTTTCAGTACAATTGAAAAAAAGAATCCTTAAAAATTCAAATCCCTGAAAATGTGTATATTCCTATTAAAGAAAAAAAAAAAAAATTAGGAATCGAAATCACTCTGGGTACTCGAATGATTTTAATATTCTAATTCTAATTGTAATATTCCAATATTCTATTCTAATTCCAACATCAATTATTACAGAAAGTAAGAAAGAAAGAAGACACAAAGATATCGGAAATTATAAAGAAAAAAAGTCGAATATTTCCACGGACCCAAAAAAAAATCACTAACAATGAATCTGTTAACAAATTGACTGACCACGATGGTCACTAGCGATCGTCGTTTCTATTTCTATAAATCCTTTAAATAATTAAAGTGGAACATTATTAACGAAGAATTTAAAATAACACAACTAACCAGATAACATAATAAAACGAAAAATACGCTTTCACTGTACTTCGTCGCAATAAAATATCACAAAATTAAATATGTTATATATATTTAATAAGGAAACACGTCGATCAATTTCTATACGTCGATCAACTTCTATTCTAAAAGAAAAAAAAAAAGAAAGAAATTCATTCTTACGTCAATTTGCGTCATTTAACCACTTGCGCTGGCAACTGATTGCGGACCATAACGAGTGACCGAAACCGTATACAATAATTCATTGCTTTCTTTTTCTTTTAAACTCGTCGGTACGATACCACTAGAAATTATTGAGAAATAATAAACTTATCATTTGCCTGGGTTTAAATATATTTATTAATATTTATTGAGATAAATATATTTATTAATAATTATTGAGAAATAATAAACTTATCGTTTGCCTGAATTTAAATATATTTATTAATATATTTAATAAATAAGAAATATATTTAAATATATTTAAATACATTTATTTATACAATTATAAATAAATCTATTTAAATATATTTATTGATTATATACTTAAATAATATATTTATTATTTAAGTATATTTAGATATACTTAAAACTGAGAAAATATCAACAATTTTGGGACAAAAAATTCTCGACGTGCATGACACGTCATTCCAGCGCAAGAGGTTAAATCCCCCCCGCAAGTCTTTCTGAAGAAAAACTGTCTGAGAATCTCTGCACGAAGCTTTCCAGATATCAACAGATAACGCGATTCATCACTCGAACTATATGTTCTTTCTTCTCTTTCTCACTTCTTCATTTCCTTGTTTCTTCCCCCCTCGTTGTTCTGTCGCGCGCGATACTCGTGCACTGCCGCACGAAGGCCGGTGCTTTTCCTCGCGGTTGGCTACTTCCTTTATTTTTTCTTCGGCATCCGGTCGACGCGCTCGCGATTTCCGGAAGCGAGTAAGGCGAGAGCCGTGGCAGCAGCGGAGACTTCATTCACAAAGGCGTGCCTCGTACGAATCACGTGCTCGCTATCCACACGTGGCTCGCGAATTTCGTACAGCGGACGTTTCGAGAGAGAGAAACTATTCTCGATTCACTCGAAGAGAAAATTGGGGGGAGGAAACAAAATTTCCCAACGTGGAGCTGTCTTCGTATAATATCGATCGAGAAAAAAAATGGTCCAGGGTGGTGCTTCGTGCTCGTTTTTTCCTTCGACGAATACGAGCGGCAATGAATTGTTAATCTCTTGCGCTGCCAACTGGTTCGCGGACCATAACGAGTGACCGAACCGTATACAATAATTCGTCGCTTTCTTTTTCTTCTGAACTTGTCGGTATGATATCATTGAATAGAAATTATTAAGTAAACTTATCATTTGTTCTGCCTGGATTTAAATATAAGTTTATTATTATTAATATATTTAATAAATAATAAATATATTTAAATATACTTAAATATGTTATATACTTAAATAACATATACATATAACGTATAACACATTTAAATATACTTAAATATGTTATATACTTAAATAACATATTTATTATTTAAGTGTATTTAAATACACTTAAAACTGAGAAAATGTTGCAATTTTGGGACAAAAAATTCTCGACGTGCACGTCATTCCAGCGCAAGAGGTTAAGGAGAGTATACATATACGAAAGATCAAGTGGTGAATGAAAACTGTGGAGAAGTAGCTGCAATTTCTACTGTGCGAATTTTTAAATTCGCTCTGGGAATTTTTTGTTTGGCGTTTGTGTTTGACGAAACTCGCGAAGAATTGTACGATGTATAATTTGTAATAACGGAGCGTCAGTGTTTCAAAGGTATTTGCATTATCGTTCGTGCGTATTGGAACGCGTTGTGCATGAATTTCATGAAAAAGGAATTAGCGATTTAAAGAACAATTGCTATGCACGTTATCAAGTTAACAGACCGTACATTCAAACGGAAATACTGCATTTAAAAAGGTTGAGAGAGATATTTATATTTGAAAATTAATCCTTTGATTCTACGAAACATCGTAGTGCTAATTTATGTCTTCACGAGAGAAATTTTCAACACCGCTTATTAAATTAAATTCTTCCACTCTTTGTGAACTTTCCATTTAAAGTGAAGGAACAAATCGTCGGAATTAACTCGATATCGTTCGATTTCATTCGATCGATCTGAATTAAAGAATTTATATATATATATATATATAAATCTAAAGTTTCATGATCAATCAATTCATTCTTTTCAACGAGGGGAACAGGCTACGGCGGTCGGCAAGAAAATTTTCAAGCGAACAGGTTCGTCGAACGGTCTGGCGAGCATGGATCGGAGGACTCGACGAAAAGAGGAGAAAAATGAATAATAAATCCTTGAACCGGCAGACCAGACTCGCGTGATGCGAAGCACTTACTGATATAACTCGTGCACTTACGTGTTGGACTTAATCCGTTGCTCGTTGTATCTTTGATGAAAGTCAAGCAGTTCCTGCACCAGACCGGTCTCGACCATCGTGTCGACCCTGCTGTCCAAACGGTCCTCCAGCACATTCTGCAACAATTTCGGAGAAACGAGCCTCGAATTAATTCACCGCAATTCATCGGCGTGTGTCATCCATATTAAGAAATTACAACCTTCGTCGGCTACTTTCCAATTACCACTGTACGAACTGTATATATATATATATATATATTTTTTTCTTAATTCCGTCATTTTCTATTCAACACGTTTTTTTCTTTTTCCTTTTTTTATCTTTCGCGACCAGTTTAATCTTGATCGTGTTTCCTATGATTTGATACTTGCTTCCATGAAGAAATATACTGCGATTTCGTGTTCTTTGCACGAACGATTTATTTGGAGGAAAAAACGTGATATTTTCCAATGACAAAGTGTTAAAAGTTTCCAAACTATTTCCACTATTTTGTATTTCATTTATTTTTATTTAAACCTCCGTTAAAAAAGAAAAAAAAAACAGTTTGGATCGAATTTTTTAGAGTTAGCTCGACAGTGTTTTAAATCTAATTTTTCTGAAATTTTACTTAATGTTTTTTTTTTTTTAATTTAATTTAATATGTTTTATTCGTCGTACAGGTTTAATATGAAGTTCAATGATACAAAATATTAATAATTTTTAAAAATTTTACATGTATATTACGTATAAAATTGTATATATATTTCCACGTTTATCTGCTTGATTTTTAAGGAGATCTGCAAAAGGATAAGAGCCTCGTTTTCGTAAAAATGAAATACCTTTCTCTTTCGTCCTGACAGTTCGACAAGTAAGCGCAATCACATTTTAATACACCAACGTGCTCAACGTTTTTTCATGAAAATGTCACATTTCACGCCCACGAATGCATCGGCGGCAATCGAACGTGACAGAGGCATCGTGGGTGTTTAGTCTCTTTGAAAGCGTTCTCTACTTAATTTCACACTTTCCAGACAGTCACTTGTTACGTGATCTGTTGAACAGTCACTTTTCAACAATTCTTCTTATCAGTTTTCATTTATTTCATAAGCGAACGGTACCTTTTTCAATTTAAACTTCCAAACAGTCAAATTTCTTCAGTCGAGTGTAAAAAAAATTTACGTACAAATGTTTTCAGCTTCAAAGATGCATGCCTTTAGTAATTTATGAACATGAAAACTATATATTTCGTCACTTCTAGATATTCTTCATATCAGTGTGAAACTGTGCAAATATCTAACAATGTCAAATTTTTCTCCAAACGACGATTCAAAATCAATTTGTTTAATTGTAACATTATAAATTTAACATCCATCGCAGCTGCTAAGTGACACTGCTAATTAATATCTTCAAATCAATTTCAAATTACCTAATCTCATTTTTCAATTTCTCGGTATCGAATCGATCAATGTCCTTTAATCAGAATACGTAGAAAGTTACAGAAAGAAATTGCACTATTTTGTAAAAGATCGCAAACGAAGTTCAGGATTCGTAAATCAATTATATAGTTATAAAATGTTCATCATATTACCGTATTATGATTTCTACTTTTACATTACTTTTATATCCATTGCTGGGGTAACAATTTCACGAACGAAACAAATTTATTGGGACAATTTATGAAATTAGAGATACATAGGTACATCATGTATGAAAATTGAAGGTTTGAGAAAATAGTGGCCTCAAGTGTATATTAATCTGTTAATAAAAGTCGACAGAAATTGCCAGGAAAATGTTGTGAAAACTGTTCAAATTTTGCTCATAAAGTCGGAAACATGTCGAATTGCACACCGTGAAACCCAGTGTTGAAATGCCACCGAAAATTCAGTGCAAATTTGAATGAAGTATATGGTCACGGTTAAGGAGCGATTCGATGTCAATGAGACAGTCGGGTTAGGCTCGAAGGCTAACTCGTGCCCATTAGAAAAAAAGGAAGGAACGGCCATCGTGGCCTTCGACAGGTTTTCAAATTGACTCACTCTCTCATTCCTGCTCGTTCCTTGCCATTTGATACGTACTTGCTAATAGCTGAAACGCGTTAGAGGAGGCCCGTGTCCTCGAAACCGTGGCTCGCGCAAAATCTCAGGTATGTCGCGAAACTATCGCCTCGACGTGACTCGATTTTCGACGTGTGTCGCGTTCGAAGCACTACTGTCATTCATCGGAATATTTGATGGGATACATTAATCATGTTTACATTAATCATGTTAGATTGGCCACTTTGGTTCTCAAGGACCAGGTTCTCGAATATTTCTTTCGATGTCGATACAACACTTTTGGTCAATCATTTATTTCAAAAATTATTTGCAACTGGAATTTCGTTCATTTCGAGAAGAAAAAAGCTTCTTAAGTTGATTCGTAGATTCTTCGTTATTTGCTAATTATTAGTAACTTTCTCTAATTTTAAGTTTGAAAACTAAATGTTTCATTGGCAAATTTTTGAGGAAATGATTTTATGGATTTTATATAATCATGATAAGGTAATGAAAAGATTGTAACGTCCTGTAGGGAATTTTTCTAAAATAGAAAAGGAAAAAACAAATTTCTTTTCCAATTTAATTAGAAGAAATACTTCTTTTAGTTTAGAGGAAGAAATTATAAATTCCGAGTGCTTCAAAGAGCAAGACGAAAATTTCAGTTAGATTTTCATCGTAAGAAAGAAGTTAGAAGAGAGACATCTAACTTTTTGCAATTATAATCCAAACAAAGTTATATTGAAATCTTCTCCTTTCAATAACAACTATTTTCTAAATAAAAAAAAAAAAAGAACCTGGTCCCACTAATTAAGAGAAATTTCACGAACAATGACGACTCTCGACGTGGTTATTTCATCACGTTTAATGATCGTTTCAGCGGCAATTAAAAATGTTTTATCGAAACGAAGATAACAGTAGAAAAAATGAAAGAAAGAAGCCACAGAAGAAAAAAATTCACAAGTTAAATTTACAAGTCATAAATCGATACGATGGAATCGTCCCACGGCCAGTTATGAATAATTTTATAACGTTATCTTCGCCCACCTTAAAACACGTCGAACATTTGATCAAGCCGTTCGGTCGACGATTTCCCCTCTGCTAAATACACGTACGAATTTCGAAAGTCCAAGGCATCGAAGGAATTCCGATAAAACTGAGCAAATTGAACTGGCGCGAACGTTAGAATGTAACGAGACGTTTTCACGAAACAGTTACACGCGACCGTGGAAAGTGTATGTCTGAAAAGTTAGCACGCTCCTGCTGAAAGCAAACACGCGTTTGTTTCCTCTGCGCGTGTTTCATTAGGATTCTGTTAGTCTTGTTCTTCTAGTAAAAAGAAAAAAAAGAAAAAAAATGAAACGTGTGCGCCGTGTTGTCAATAATTGAAGTATTTCCGATGTTGAGAAACTTCTTGATAGAATCATAATGCGAGTAAATTAGAATTTAGTTTTTCAGCGCTGGACTTTCAAATTTTATTTATTTTATACTTATTATATATTTTATAATGTATAATATTTATATTTATTTTATATGTATTATATATTTTATAATATATAATATTTATATTTATTTTATATGTATTATATATTTTATAATATATAATATTTATATTTATTTTATATCTATTATATATTTTGTAATATATAATATTTATATTTATTTTATATGTATTATATATTTTATAATATATAATATTTATATTTATTTTATGTTTATTACATATTTTATGATATATATATAATATTTATATTTATTTTATATATATTATATATTTTGTAATATATAATATTTATATTTATTTTATACTTATTATATATTTTGTAATATATAATATTTATATTTATTTTATATCTATTATATATTTTGTAATATATAATATTTATATTTATTTTATATTTATTATATATTTCATAATATATAACATTTATATTTATTTTATATTATATAGACAATTCTTCTCATTTTTTGAATCTCGAACTTCTAATAAACAGTGTCAACCGTAACCTAATAATATATATTCATAATCACAGTTTTCATTATATAATTATTTTATCCCACAGAATAAGAAAATGTTTCTACAGTAACAAAAATTCCTCCTCTTTATTTTCTCTCACCTTGCACTTTACTCTTATTATATTTTATTGTATTTTTAATGATCGGCAGACCACCGACGATGATCATTAACATACCGTTGAAACGACGAGCTCCAATAATCAGATAAAAACGCGTGAATATCAAATCGAGATGGCTATTAATATTCATACTAGGAGCAACGCTGCGTCTAAGATTGATTTCACTTTTTTCGTCCATACTGTTCACTATTCTAACGTCAGGTGCCATGTACTAACTGGTTTTTATCGTGCATCATTGTGAAATGATAGCATAATGTCCCATAAAATTATAATTGAAACGAACGCGTTTTGAAACGAACTCGCACACAAGATGAATCAATTTTCTAAAAATATATTTATTTAAATGACTCGCCAATCAAACGCTCCGTTAGTTCAAAAATTATGTTACCAATTTACAATTTTAAATCGATATGATTCTGAATAAATCAGTAGTTTTATTATTTAACGCGCCGATCACGTGAAACGTCGAGACAGTATGTGGATTTCTATTAAGGATTTCACAAGTATCGTTCTAAAGATATTTCCTCTCAAAACTTTGACAATCTACAAAAAATATTACTTATCCAAATATTTCCATACTGAACTGGAGAGTCCTCCTGAGAGAAACTAAATTCCAAAATTATACAGAAACATACGGAAGCTAAAAGAAAAAAAAAAAAAAAAAAAAAAAAACATGAAAAAAAACTACCAGCCTCTGAATTCTAACATCGCAAGATTTTCGACTAGAAAGAGGAATCTCAAACTTTTACCAGCAAAAATAGTCAAGAATCGACCGATCTTTCGATAATTCTAATTGTGAATTCTCTCTATTGGAGACAAAACAGTCTGACTATTACTCAAAATCACTTAACACGGCAAGTCTCAAACACACTGGGACACGCAACTCACCGAACAACTCCCGATGGCCAACCAGCGAATCATTCGTCCACAGCTGAGTCTGCACATGACGAAGCAATTTCGAGGAATAACGAGAAACGGTGGATGGAAGCGGCGCGTGAATCGAGAAGAGTGAAGTTCGATGAAGCCGAATGACAATCTTCCCTGGCGGCGAAGTTCAACAAACTCGGCTACACCGCCGCTGGATGGGCAGGCATGCGGCGTTTCGTCGAGTTGCCCGTGGTGGACGACAGCAATTATCCGACGACGCCTGGGTGTCGTGTACACCGAATAAACAAATAAACATTGCCCGGCTGGCTGGCCGGAGCAGGAACAGCGTGTGGAGCCACCGGTGGTGGCACCGTATCCGTCCACCTCGGGCTATGTCGCTCGAGATGAGCTACAGACGACGAAGAAAGAGACTCCATGGGGTGGCCTGCGAGCGGGAAGGATGGAGGCGAGAGAAGCGGTCTCGCGTTGCTCTCGTTCGCGTGCCGGTCTATTTCGGCGAATGCGCAGCATCCCAAAAAGACCGCGCCACCGTATACCCGTTGGCTTTTACGACACCGCGCCATTAACGGTGCCCGTAAGTATAAACTTAGGACAATCACCACGCAAAACCGATCCGAAGATCCCCTGCTCCGTTCGATTTATCGGTTTCTTCCTTCGTTGCGCCGTTCGAGATCGTTGTTGCGTTGATACCGCCGTCGGAAATAGTAGTAATTGAGTTTGGAACATTATCTTCGTATTACGATTTTAGTCAAAAATTAGTCAAAGATATCGATAATTCCGGAGAGGGATAAAACATTATCTTCGTATTACGATTTTAGTCAAAAATTAGTCAAAGATATCGATAATTCCGGAGAGGGATAAAAGTAGAGTGCCATTTAACCAAAAATCGGATAAGAATCATTGAATAATTGAAATTAATTCTCGTGTTGCTTACTATCGGAAGCAAATGTGGCATTTTCGAACATTATACGGTATTAAAAGTGGACGAAAAGAAATTACGATATTCGGTTCGGTAACATCAAAGATACAGCGGTTCTCTCGCGGTTGAGGTGAATCCTCGACGAGTTGGTCGCCGTCGGATCAAATGCGCATCAATCACCATCTCTGAAATTCACGGTGGAGGAAGAACTCGGCCGAACTTGGTTTAGGGTCGTTCAAAGCGAGGGATCGATGGAATTTAAAATAAAAAGAAAAGGCTCGTCCTCCCTCTCTCCCCCTCTCTCTCTCTCTCTCTCTCTTTCTCTCTCTCTGCCTCGCTAATATTGGTAATGGCAGGAAATTGCGAGCAACCAGACACCGCAAGAAGATAAAAGCATTCGCGTGTGCTTTATGCTTGGCGGGCTTTTTTGGTTGGAACCACGGAGGAAGACATATTAGTTAGTCATTTTCCTCGAGGGCCGATCTGCATAGTGGCAATACGAGGGGTCGCGAGAGGTGGAGGAGGAGGAAGGTAGGCTCGAAGGGAAGGGGGTTGCTTGATTTCGTAGGCGCATATAGGCTGGAACGTAGTAACGTAGGAGGGATGACAGAACCTGGAGCTTACCTGGCCGCGAGCCAACCCCACTCTCCTAGAACTCGTGATAGTGCATAGTCGGTGCATAGTGAGAGTGCATAGTCGGTGCATAGTGGGTACCCGGTCTCTGCCCCTCCACTCAGTCGCATGGGTGCCCGCATTGCAGCTATGGCCCACCATCCTAATGATGGCAACCACGCAGGTACAAATCTACCCACCCCTTTCGCACCCTCTCTCCTTCTATCTCTCCGTTCTACCGTTCCTCCAACGACTCGTTTCTCTTTTTTCCTCTTTTTTTCGTTCTTCCTCTCTCTCTCTCTCTCTCTCTCTCTCTTTCTCTTTCTACCTCTCTTTCTACTACACTCGCTCGACGATTCTAGTCGCGCGATTTTCTGCTGACACTTTGCCTTGACACTACCTCTTTGGCGCCACGGCACTTCCGCTTTCGCTGATCGAACGAAGCGATTCTCGTTCGCTTCCTCTAACCCTTCCACCCTTCCAACGTGCTCTTTCGGTTCGTCCGCAGCCTTCATGCAGCATCGTTCCCTTTTTACGAACATTCGCCATCTGCACGCCCATCTATTTGTCCACTCGCCACCGCCGTTCGCGTCTGTTTCGCGGTTAACCCATTTTTCGACCTCGTTTTCGGCACCTCGGCGCCGCGCAAAACGACGACAAATGCCTACGATTCGGCGGACCTGGCACCGAAGATTCCAGAATCGCGCTGATTGAGAGACTGCTGGTCGATGAGGTCTGCATCAAGTAGTCTCGATGCATCGTTGGTGAAAAGGCCTTCTTTTTATCCAGTTTCTTACGATTTCATTTCAATTGATGTTGCTCGGTTCTTCTCTCTTACGTCCTACAAATAACGTGCTGAGTACTAAACTAGTCTAATTTTATTCTTCGATGCGACTAGGATAATTTACCTTGTATAGCTTAAATCCAGTCGAAAATAGATTTCAAATTTTCACGGATCAAATGCCCGCGTAAATAAAACCACATTATTAAAGTCAACGGTACGCGAGACGGAGCCTTTCGCGGAGGAGCCAATCGACGGACGAAATATATCCATCTGAATTCAATTGCTCTTATCGCGGATTTCAGTCTTCGATGAGATCGCGCCGGAATAACCCGGAGGTTAATCCTATTCGTAATGAGACTGGCTAAGTATCGAGGCGTATTCCGTGGACTTGGTGAAACGAGTCGCTGAAACGAGGAGGAAGAAGAATGGCAAGGAAAGGAGAAGAAGATGAAGAAGACAAAAAGAAAAAAGAAAAAAAAGAAAAGAGGAGGAATCAAAGGAATCAGTAGCGAGAGCGAGGGGAAAAGAGAAACGCAGACAAGCAGAAGAGAGACGGCAGGAAGATTTCATTCTTGTTACTCGCGGCGACATCTTTAATTCATCGAATGCGGATTGCGGGCTGAATCCCTGATGAGCTTTATTCCACATCCGCGCGCTCGAACTATTGGATCCGATGAGAGATTCTCATACGATAATACTCGACGCTAAGCCACTGTTCCACGTCTCACTTATACGGTCCTCGCCGGCCTTTCTTCTTTCTCCTCTCCCTCTCGTCTCTCCCCCGTTTTCGCTGGTGATCCGGCACCTCTCGCGCGTCGACTTCGACTTAAGAAGCTCCCGACCGAGCTTTTTCGACTTTTTCCACCAGAAACCTCTCTCCTTCTCTCTCTTTCTCTCTCTCTCTTTCTCTCTCTTTCTCCTTGATCCGACCGAAGGAATGCTCACTTTCCAGCCGAGCGCGGACGTTTCGCTCCAATCTCAGACCCTCAATCCTTTCTCGTTTTCTCGCGGGAAATCGCGCGGAAAACTAGCCAGTAAAGATCCTCTGGCGCACGTTTCCATCGGACTACGTCTTTCTCTTTCTCTCCCTCCTTCTCCCTCTGTTTCTTTTTCCCTTCCTATTCGCCTCGTCTATTCTAGCGTAGCCGGACACTATTAAGGGACCACGTCGTTCCACCTTCCGATGGAAACTCCGACACGTTTTATTCTGTCCTCCCCCGGTGAATAATAGTATTTTCAGAGACCGTTCAAGATAGACGATCGAGTATTAAAGTCCTCGGGAAATTGTGGATATTGCACGGAGCTGGAAAAACTGTTCGTAAGTGTCCTATCATTTACGCGGACGCAAATCTTTTATTTGCCTCGCGATTTCATTACTACGTTTTGCATGGTATTAAGCGGATATTTTTGCGCGACGAGATTTTCGTTATCTTTAGTCTTCAAGAGGAAATTTGGTCTGGTAATAACAGATATTATTGTACGGTGGATAAATCACAAAACTCGGAATCGAAGAGTTCTTCTCGTTTAATGTCTGACGCTGAATTCGAATTCAAGTGACGTTACCTGATTTATTGCTCGATTCTTATAATCTTGTTTCAATAGAAACGAATCTAAGAGATCTTTCATTCACAAAATCGCGAGCAGATATTTCTACGCTCATAATTTTCGAGTCCTATTTCCCTTTTTTTGCGAAAAGTTCTTGCAATAAATTTGTATCTAACACCAGTGATCTATCGATGATACTTTTCTCTCATTAATGACGTGAGATTACATTATAATCGCGATGAACGAAAATATTTTCCACCGTCTAAAAATCATTTTCAATTCGTGAAAACAACGTGATTCGTAATAAAAACAACAATAACAAAAAGAAAAAAACGAAAGGAAGGAAGAACCGTATTCAAATAAAATTATTATATTACCCCTCATCATCGTGCATACGGTTTTCAGTTTTCATTATCGAATCATATCACGGTTCACCGTAAACAAAAGAGTTTCTCTCTCC